TATATTTGCAAGTAATTTCTACAGGACTGAATGACTGGGTGTCTTTGATTGAAGTTGTTTTTTCCAATTTTATCTGTGCAAATCCCAGACTGTGTGAAATCATTGCTAAGATATTTTGTGGTGTATAAAATTAACATGTCTTTCAAATGATTTCCCAAGTAAAAGTTCTGGAACATTTACAGTAACAACCTTTAACCAACATCAAATAGATATATTATCAAATCATGCCCCATCAGTTTGAGTCCATAAACGTTAACCATCATAAATATACAATATCTAACAGTTTTAGTCTGTTTGATTTTCAACGTGTATTGCCCTCTCACCAAATTTTGAAATGTATGCCACTGCTACCATTGTAAACCATGTTATGATGGTACTGGGGCAGCAGAAATGTTGATTGTTTGATGTGGGAAGTTCTCCACTCTTCTTCTCACCGTGGAAAAATTGTTCTCTTTGGGTACCTGGACCAGGAAGAACTCTTGTATTCTGACGTGATTAGAACTGTAGACAACCTGGCAATGTTTTGCTAACTTTGACAGACTTCCATCATTCATATATGTGACCTCATGCAAATATGGTTAATTTCCAGGTTTATTTTGTTTGTGGCATGGCTGTTTTAATTATTTGGTCTTTATTGAATCATACCTGTATTTATACATTGGAATTATTTGAATATTACCTCAAATTGTTTCAAATATATCACTGATTTTGAACTGATAGACCTAGAAGGAAGGCAGCTAATCAACAGCACCCACTATCACCCTTTGGGCTACTCTACTAATATAGTGCGATTTGACTATCACTATTATAATGCATCCATACTCTAATTGTGGGAACCTTTTGGGGGGGGGGGTAGTATTGAGATACAAACCATAGACCCTCAGATCCACGGTTTGGCACGACAACCACTAGTCCACCTGTGAGTCGGCTGTGATATAAACAGCAGCAAACATTTCAAATTGTATAACTGTGTATGTTGTTACAGGTTTCAAGCTTAGCATCAGTCATACAAATAGTGACATGTATTCAGGTAGAAAGAACCTTTAATCTACTATTTTGAAAGTTTTCTTAACTCTAAGATTTCCAGTAGTCAAAAAAATTATGAAGATATCACAGTTTCCCCTACTGGTTCGATCTGATTAAATTAAGAAAGTATTATAAACAATTTACAGCAAACTAAAAGAGACTGGAAATAGAACAAACAGAAACGGTAAAATATATATACATATATATATTTGGTAATACATTTCAAAAAGGATGTGAAACTGAAAAAAGATTGAAAAGAATTCTTAAAAATATGCTACATTTGTAAGAGCAGAATACATTAATATTGTAAGATCACTTAAGTTAAAAAGTTACAAAGAAAAAGTTTTCAAAGAAGTTTAAACAAAAGATTCTAAGTTCTGAATGAGTAATAAGTGTAGTAAGTTAATAAGCTTTATAGAAGAAGTACTAAAGAATGCACAGCTAAAGTATGTTATATTAATAATTGAGGGCATAGTATATGCATGTATGATAGATATGATTTTGTGGTTATTGGGAAACAACCTTGTTGCTGATATGTATCTAAACAGCCTAATTTGTAAGTGGTAACAAATAAGAAAGGGCAAACATAATCTGAAAATGCTGAGAATTAATAACAAATCAACAGTGGCGCAATGAAGCACAGATGTTTGAGGGAAGCGAACATGCAATAAAAAATAACTATTTAAAAATTCTGTGAGAATATTGAAATCTCTTGTATGGGATATAAATAATATATATATGTATATGGTTCTGGAAATGTGTATTTAAATATAACATAGAGTGCTTGTGCAGTAAAAATGCATCATAATTAAGAAAATTATTCTTGGGAAAAAGCTGGATAATGCATAAAATTAATCCAAAGTCCAAGAGCATCCAGAGCTTTAGGTGAGCCCTGGACCTAGACTGTAAGGGGTACTACTATGGTGCACATCCATCGCTTCACTTGGTAAAATTAAACCTTGGATTCCTACTTTTAATTTGCCTCATACATCTCTGTTGTGTTTCCAATCTGAATGGCACGTTAAGCAACATATGGGCTAACTGACTAGGTATGGTATTCCCTGTTACATGGCTTTCGTACAAAGTAGACAGAGCCATAATTGAAAGTTCAAAGAATACTATATTGTAGAGTATATGACTGTCAATCTCCAATTCTTAACTAAGGTCATAAACAAGAAAGAGTTGAATGAGTAATGTGCACAATGATAACAATCTTTATTCACAAAAATAACAAACAATAAACAAAATAATGGCAAGTGTGTTATTGTGGATGTGGAACTTGTAATACAAGAGTTGTGGTGAAACCTTTAATAAGTTATTTTACCAGTTCGGTATGTTTCCTC